AATAATGGGTTAAAAATGACCAAAACACCAAGAGGTATTTCATAGGAAAATGAGGCCTTGGGACCGTATTCTCTACCACTTAGATACTTTCATAATCCATAAAAAAATCAAATCAATAAGCCAAGAAGGAAAAAAAAGACAAGTAATTTGATAAGTAATAATAAATAATTTCTTAACCTGAATTTTTTTAGCCGTCGTCAAGCATGAATAAACTTAAAAAGGAAATAAACAAATAGAGAAATAGAAATAGGAAGAGAAAGGTAAAGAAAAGGGAGGTTGAAAGGAAAGCGAAAAAGAAATGTTGAAAAATTATTAATAACTAATGATCAGAAAATTAGCATAGAAAAGGACATTTTCTATTGCAATTTACAATTAGAAACCACTTCAATATGAGCCTCAAATTTATCTTCTCAATCGTTTTGCGAGTTTCGCAAACATTCTTCTATTTTGTTCCAGTTACTTTCTAATTCACTACTGCTTCTTATAGTTAGACTATTAAAGTGCCGGTCAACATTTTCTATCTCTTTTTTTAAATTTTCATTAATCTTAATTAATGTCGTTTCTTGTGAAAAATCTACTCCTAGCACGCACTTATTAACAAAATGCTGACAATTTTCTAAAATCCAGCCATAATTTTGTCTATATTCTTTACTAGATACGGCTCAAGCAATATGTTTTTTGATTAATCGCGTTTCTTTATAGGGAATTATAGGATAATAGTAAGAAACCGAGTGCGAACTACTATTGAAAAGTTCACTTCAATTAGCAATTTCTGCTTTGAAGAAGCCAATACCTGTTTTTGTCACATGTGCCACTTTATGATTTCCATAATTATCTTTTCCTAAATAAACACCAACATGAGAGTAGTCAGACCTTTCCACCCTAATAATACTAAAAACTTTTATATCTTTGCTGGGTCTGTATTCATTATAACCCAATTTAAAACCTTTAACGAGTCCGGGACAATCGTCTTTTCATCAAAGTTTGTCAGTGGTCGCTAAAATCGGATTACTTCCATTTAATTTTCTTATTAGAGAGTTAATTTCCTTCTCTCATCATTTATCAAAAC